AATTGCTTGGATGGTAATTGACATTAGAGATGATGTGTGTCACTCTTTTAAAGTAAAGGAGTTGTGGTCTGACACTAAAGAATGCCTGAACCAAACCTGGAGATGAATCGAACAACTGTGCAGCCGGCTTTGTTCTTGACCTACGCCCATTGCACTTTCCGTGCTTCTCTATCGAGAAGGCTCAGGTAACATTTTAGGTGAGGGCATCTAATGGGCGGTAGCTCTCCCAGGTGAGCCATTCCCCAAGGCAACCACAACCCATCTTCCCTGGGTCTGCCTCCATGAGGATGAATCTGGCCTGGGATGTGTGATGGTGTAATCAATGCTTCATTCAAAATTTGGAAATTTTGTGTGTGAAGCAAAGAGCTACCAGGATGAACAAAGATATGACTTTGTCCAGCCATTTCAGCGTAGACAGGATTCCATCAATATCAAGAAGGAGTTGTACAACATTCCTCAACTACTGTTAACTGACATGGGCTGAAAGCCTATGATCTTGCATTTGCTTGGAACAGACATGCTTTTATCACCTAGTGTTAGCCATGAATATTCTTTCTAGTCTTTCTGCAAGTCAGCTTTCCCAAAGAGTTAATAAATGAACATCTCCCCTTATACATTGGGAGAATGCAAACTGATAATAGAAATAATTTAATTTTGAGGAGATATCAGAGAGTTCTCTGAAGAAACTAGTCTCAGAAAACTAACCTGATGAGATATGACGACCTCCTATCACATGTCACAAACCACTTTGGTAAAGCTTTGTTTTGAATTTAAAATTAAGTAAATCCATGTATGCATCTTTTTCACCAGTAATGTTTTGTTAAGCCTCTACTGTGTACCAAGCAATGTGCCATAGACCACATTGCTTGGGATACAGAGAAAAGTGAAGGACAATTTCTAACCCCACCTGAGACCCAGCTAGAGCATTGTCTGCAGAAGGCAGAGCAGAATCTTCCACTCTAGCCAATGCGCTTAGAGAGCCTACACTTGGGGCACATATTAGTTACTTTTTAGGCTGGGAAAATCCTCTCAAAGAGAATAACAATCTCTTTAACTCAGCGGAATACAAAACAGTGCTTTGAGAAACACTGGCTGGGCAAAGAAGAGAATAGTTTACAACAAATCAAGGGCATTCATTAGGGGAAGTAAGATGCAATATGCCTCTAGTATTTTCTCTTCCCACCTGGGATATAATAAGAGTCCAGCAGCATCCAGCCATTGAGTCTTGAGGCTAAGAAAATCCAAAGGCCAGAGTAACATCTTAGTTGGCACATTCTGATTACTCATTGCTTTGAGCACTGAAGTCACAGTGATATTCCTGATGGGCATGAACATGTAACGACACTATTCAGGATGCTGTGGTCAGAAACCAGGTGACTGCTTCCCAGTTCTGCATTTGTCTTCAGATCAAGTTTGTGGGAATTCTGCGTCTTTGGAACACATGCAATGATGACATTATTTGAGGGTCATGATTCCACAACTTCTATGAAATTTATTTCTGCATTTGGTGACAGCAAATTTCCTTTCATCAGTCACTTTGATTCCTTTTTAGAAGGTGGGAGTACAAACCAATAGATAAACATAAAAAATTTTGTTTTATCTTCTCTTGGGTCATCAGGTTTAAATAGCCAATGTAGAGTATCTCCTCTTCTGCCAAGTTATCAATAGGCTCCAATTATGTTATCTCATAGTTAAGGAAAATTTTAAGAAATTATTTTATATATATATATAAGAAAACATTACTAGCAGACTGGGCCCCCAGAGGCTACTATATTATATAAAGAAATATTCTGAGAGGGGGAACATTTTTTACTTTTTACTTCTTTTTTCAACCAGCTTAACTAATTGATGTCTGTTCCTGGATACAATTTGAGGAAGAAAAAAAAGAAATCAGGCAATGGAATGGAAAATTTTTAGTCTAACCATACATTTAAGTTAGCCCTGTCATTAGCTTTTCATGGAATCAGGAATCAGCTTTAGTGAAGAATGACTTTTAGGAGGAGGATGGTTTCTACTGGAATCTGATTTGGCTCAGCTAATCAGCTACTACTGCTCCTCTAGAGTTTTCTATTCTGGTTCAAGCACCCAGAAACCTGAGACTCATGCGGGCCTTCATCTTCCTAATTCTGTCACATGGTTGCATCCTATACCTTGTTCACGTCAGCGCATTCCTATCTCCATGAAGTATTAAAACCACCTCTGAACACAAAGTTTCCAGCCTTGTTTGTCTCCAGTCCACTTTCCACATTACTACCAGAAAAGCAAATCAACTTACATTAACCACACTTCACCCCTTTTTTAAAAGAATCCAGCTATACTTCCTAATTGCCTACAGAATGAAGATCATGGCACCTACTTTTTTTTTACCACTGTATCCCCAGTGCCTACCTTAGCACCTGACACAGAAAAGTGCTCAGTAAGCATCTGTTGAATGCCTTAAGGACCTCCATGACCAGGCTCTTGCCCACCCCTCCGGTCATACCTGAGGCTTCCCTCAAGCCATCTTGATCTCCTACTAGCTCTCGAACTCGTCTTGCTCTTTCTTGCCTTCATGCTTTTGCACCAGCCATTCTTCTGGCTTAGAATGTTGTACCCACTAGGGCTCACATCCTACTTTCTCTCACCAGCTCCATGTGGTAAACGCGGTTTCATCTCCCACCAAGAGAATACTGCTGCAGTCCTCTCTCAACGCAGCCCCTGACCTATGATCAGTCCACAAAGTGCTCATTTTCCTCCAGGATCAGAGGCTGAAGGCTGAGCTGCGATCAGAACGTATCGGTTTTCAGACTTGGGGCGGGGGGTGTGTGTGTGTGTGTGTGTGTGTGTGCGCGCGCGCGCAAAGCTCATGAGGGTTTGAGACAGCAGGTATCAAATATGGACTTGGGTTCAGCTTTCAAGGGTGGTTCTGCTATGATTTCATTCCCGTTACAGGCAAAACAGGTGTTTGGGGACTTGCCTGGGTACCCAAAGGTTAATTACCCACACACCTCAATAAAGCTGCCCAAAAAAGATTATTTATCATTGTTTTTCTGGGGGGAAATAGTTTCCATTTGCAAATTGGAAACTACCTGAACGTTATTGCCAGTTACCATCTTCTTGCTTCTTTAAAAACAAACTCTTGAAAAAAAAAAAATTTTGGCCAAAACTCTATCTACCTCTGATATGAAAGCCATGCTTTCTTTTTTTTTTCCTTAAACAACAAACAGGCGGAGTTTTAAGGAACACTAAGTTAGTTATTCAGTGTTCTCCAGACTCTTGACACAGTCAACACATTCAAATAAGAGAGTGTGTGGTTGAGGTTCTGGGAAATACATGGCCCAATGGTTCAGGATGATAATTTGTGAGGTTCAAAGATTGAAAGCACTTCAGAAGCACCACTCCAGCCCCTACTTCCTTAGTATTGGCAGAGAACCTAATAATTTTGAAAAATGTTGAAGGAAGATAAAAGCGAGGAAAACGAAACATGGCCCATGGTTAATGTCTACATCTTCAAATGTAATGCAGTTATTCAACTAATTTAAAATACCACTGAAGTGAGATGACTCTCTTTAAATATTTTATCACTAAGATGCTGTAAGATTCCTTACACATATATTACCACTTTTTCCATTTAATTACTGATCAAATGTGCTAGTTGAAAAGACTAAGATCTTGCCATACACCAGAATGATTTGTGAGACTAGAGCAAGCAGGCCTGTGCTATCTTCCTCTTGATTTTCTAAAAACTGTTCATGGGTAAAAGATGTTGACTCACTTGACTAGAACTTTCCTATTTATAGTGGTTAATACAGAAACCACACAGGATCCAGTCCTGGCACTGTAAACCTTTGAACACTACATCTATGAAATTCTGTTGTCTTTTTAAATTTTCAGTAACATTTCTCTTTGCTATATTTATCACATTTTCCAAAATATGAAAACGTTCTTCTTATTTTAAATGTTGACTACACGTGAAAAATTAACTCTGGTTCTATTACTTCAAACTATCCCTTTATTAGCAACAGTTGTGCAACGCTGTCAAGAGTAATTTTAAAGCGAAAGTACCAAATCTGGAGAGTAGACACATCTGTTTTACTTCGCAGTTTGTTTTATTGTTTTATTTCTTAGGCTATGAGTTCACAACTATCTTATAACTGAAGACTAAAGAAAAAACATATGTTGGTAAATCTGATTTCTGCATTTTTTTTCATTCAGGGGAAGTTGCCTCCCTCAGCTGTCTGCCAATAAGTAATAAATGGACTTGGCAAAAAGTTTATTTAAGTTGGCTTTATTAAGCCAAGAAAATACAGAAATCAAGTATGGGACAGGCAGAAAAATCTGTTCCTTTGAAGTCAATAAAAATCCATCTCCTTAATCCTTTTTTTATTCCAAGCAGTGGTGATTTTTCTCAACTGACTCACTGAGAACCTTGATTTAGCCAATCTGTCTTGCTTAGTTATCTTTCTTCTCCAAAGCTTTCCTAAAGAAGCATCCTTTCCCCTTGACAACCATCATCTTATATACTTGAATAGTGATCCATCTAGTTGTAAACATTCTCTGGTTAATCCTGATCGAGACTTAAGAAACAGGTTTTTAATTACTACCCATATTTTACAATAAAAACAGCAGTAGCTTGCAGGCTCTAACAAAAGGCACACAGAAATGATCAACAGCAGAAGGATGGCTACAATTTGATACTATATGTCTTTCCTAAGCCATCTCCATTCGACCTTCTGACACAGCCTTCTATGGCTTCTGCCTACTCATCATGTCCGTTACAGGAGAAACTTCAGGACTCCCATGTAATAACTCCTTTTCCATGCCCCAACCCATCTACTCACAGGTGCTGAGTCATGCAGAAATATATACATAAGAATGTATTCACATTTGACGACTTCGGGATTTGAAAAGGAGGGCATTATCTTGGTAGAACAAAAGCATGCACTGACTTTGTGACACTCAGAGTTTGGCATCACCTAATAACATCTGGTTGTACAGAGTATGAGAAAAGGATTCCTTACCTAAACTAAAGAGCACCAAGAATTTCAGACACACAAACTCTCGTTGATCAAACTGTAGAGAGCGAAGCTTTACCACTAACTCCTGTGCATGACTCATGAGATTGTTGAGGGTGGCCCCGGCTTGGGACGCTATTATGGAATAATCCACCTGCAACACAGAATCAGTTGTAATGACTGTCAGAATCAGAAACAACAACAACAAAAAAGAATCAGAAACAAATATTTTATTTGCAACTTTTAGGAATTGTGGGTAAAATCAGATTGCACTATAGATTTATAAGAGGGGACATTGCCCATGAAAATGGTTTGAGACATGTTATGATTCTGAGATGCATCATAATTATGCTGATAAATCTAATCATTTTGATAAGCTTTGTAGGGAACAGATTTTGCCTACCTAAATTTCACAGGTATATACCTTCATCTTTTTTCTATTGTGAAATTACATTATCACATAAGGTTAAAATTTTTAACTTTCACAAATCAGTTTAAAGAAAACTACACTATCAAAAAAAATTGAATCCAGAACAGCATGCTATGCGCACACGATGACATTAACTAGTGCATGAGGAAAGTGAAGGCAGAGGTATGTTTCCATTTTTATTTTATTAAGAGACTATGTTTTAAAGCAGTCATTGTCCAAGAATGCATGCTTGTGGATGATGAAAGAATCGCATTTAGATTATTCTTTAGCAGGTCGCTTCCTAAAAAGCAACAACTACTATTTTCATTCATATGATTATTAATACATTTCGCTCTAAAGACAGCAATGATCTTCTTAAGAGGAATAATTTCTTGATATGGAAAACATAACAAAAAGGGCTTATTTTCTTCTTCATTAAAAAAAAAGGTGCTGCAATGCACCAATCTTAGATTATTCAGGGGGACATAAAAAGTTCAGTTTATAATAATAAGTTAAGATGTTGGGATGGCTGTCAATGATGGTACTGGCTTGGCTGCTGCAATTATAGCATAATGGGAAAGCCCAGTTGGTACCTGATGCTCCCATCCTTTTTGTACCAGAGAGCTCTCAGGCAACCAGATACTCTTTCAGGTGCATTTAATATTTGCAGCAGCAGCAAATTTGTCTGGGAGGCAAGTCCTCATCTGCCACTCACCCGGAGCAGACTGTATTAAATTTTTATATTTATTGACATTTCATTACCATAATTGACTGCACTTGCTTCTCCAGGAGAAGGCACAGGGCTGCCTCCTAAGCAGGAGAACGAGTCCCTAGAGCAGAATTTGCAATTAAAAACAAGGCAGAATGGATTTTTTTTTTTTATTGTGTAAATATGATGAGTTGAATTTTCGGCTTTAACTAGAGAATACTGGGTGTACAGAAACCCTTTTTCAAGAGTGAGAAAAATTAGGAGTCAGTGGAAAGACGACCCCCAAAGGTGTCAATCAGTTTATGTAGAGTCAACTATGCATGAAAAAGGCACAGTTAATGTGTGTTCTAGGTCTGCTCTTGTATCAAGCACTGTCCTCCCTGCCTCCCTGCTTTGTCCATGTGCTGGCTTCTGTCCACTAAATTTAAACATCAAGCGTTCTAGGAACTCCTTTGGTTTCTGTTTCAGAATGTGTGAAAGAAAGGGCTGGGACCCAGGCAACCAGAATCCTGAGCAGGAGGCAGAGAGGACAAGCAGATGAACACTGGGGAGCGTGTCAGGATGATCTGCCTATAGCCCCCAAAGGGATGTCTCAGCTTCCATTTTGCCAGTTCTCTTACAAGAGATCTTTCTACTCCAGGGAAGTTCTTCTTACTTAGAAGCGGTGCCTGAGCTCTCAATTCTTTAGCAACTATGCATGGTCTCACTACACCCAGGTAATAATAGAAATCCTACAAACAGGATAGGTGAGTGAAAGACAGCAGGAAGGCCCCATGGGGTCACGGAGGTGGAAGAAAACCGGGACAACACAGGAGATCTGGGCCAACACGGCCACTTACAGACGAAGCATCTTGGGCAAGTCATATGGAGTCTCCGTCCCCTGGTTTCCTGATCTTTAAATAAAGCAGTTAAGCTAGAGGATAATAAGGTGCCTCCCATTTCTGTGATTATCAGGAAATGTGAGAGTACTTGGGTTAATACTACCAATTTAAGCTAGGAATCAGCTGTTGAATGCACTGCAGCTGGAGCTTAGTATGTACATAGCACATTTTAATCAAAATCACAAGCGAAGCTTTCAAAAAGGGAAGTGCACTACAATAAACCACAAATATGTTGGTACTAATTAATTTTTCATAGTATAAAGTTAATTAAGTTTTGCTATGTGTATAGTTCTAACAAGTATGCAAGAAGTTCAAATACTAGAACGGCATGCTTGAAAATGTAGTAATTAACCAGAATCTCATTTTTTTTAAAGATCGGTTAATTAAAATTCGGTATGTGTACAGTTCTAACAGGTGTGTAATACTAGTTCAAGTCCTAGAACTTTATACTTGAAAATATAGTACATTATACCCGAAAGGAAGTGAAAATGTTTCATAAGATTCTATTTACTGAGAGACCTTTAGTAAGATGAACTTCAGGAAATCAATTGGCATACCAACAACTTTATAGCTATACATTTATTTACATGCTAATTTGAAAGCTCAAACATGCTTATTAAATGGGAGCTCCAATAGCACTTCCTTCAAGGATAATTTGTCAAATTGCATGGCTCCAAAGGAGGATAGGTGATTTATTCCTGAAACAGCACACAGATCTGCAACTTCCTTACATTTTATTACAAACATAATTATATTTTCATTGTTGAATGCAGAGTTTGTGCTCATTTTAGGAGCAGCTGGCCTTGTCTTTTATGTACTTAGTAAAATTAATTTATTGCTCTCTTACATGTAATCTTTGTGCCATTAAACTCAAGGCAGATATTGAAGAAATACTATAAGCTGATGTCCCCTTTGGATAAATTTCACTCATCATGAAGGTAGAAACAGTTTTAGCTAAATTGCTTTTAGTTCTAATAACTGAAATTTTTGATGACTTGTACATTGTAAGATGCCTGTCATTTTAATATGATACACAATAATAGAAGATAATGAATAAGTTGCTGGTAGACCTATCCCTTAGGATGATGTTACAGGGGCTGTTAATTAGCTACAATATGCAAATACTAAAAGCGATCCCACTTCAAAGGACTCTGTTGTTATTTTTTATATATATATATATATATTTAAGTATATATATATACACACACACAGATATGTTTTGTGTGCATGTATTTTTAAAATACTGGATAGAAATGAATTCTTGTCATAACTCTAAGATGTTAAAAATATAGAATTGATATGATAATCCTGATGTTACTGATGATATTACCAGTAATTATTATGTAAGTTACTAATACTAATTAATATTACCGATAATTATTTCCTTTTTGCTTAACAAGATTATTTAACATATGCTTATATAGATGTCTGATTAAAAGACATAATGAATACATGATGACTGACCTTAGTTTTAAGAAATTTGGTGTGAAGCATCAAATCCTCATTTCAATACTGGGTAGTAGTGCCCTGGGCTGTTCTTTGCAGTGGGATTATTTCAATTACTCTAGATCTCAATGAACTATGAAGGGACTCGATTCTGCAAACATTTATTTAGCAAACATAATGTGCTAGGCACAACGCTAGCCATGGGACTTTTGAGAAAAGTTGTGCTATTTTATCTAACTTTCTTCTCTCTCTTCAAGCTCCAAGTAGCAGTTCACTGGAGGTCCCCCTCACTTAAATTCAGTCTAGTCTTTTTCTTCCTTCTCTGTTGTTAACAAATGCATCACATTATTTACCATGAGATGCGTTCAGGAAGAAAATACCAGAATACTGGGTCAAGGAGTACCTGGGGCCTTGCATTCCTTAGTTTGTCTAGCAGAGTTGCTATAAAGCATTGTGTAGACAGTACATGCATGCTCAAGCTGACACAAAAATGCTTCCTGGGTCACCTTTGTGTCAGGACTATTGTCCTGATATTATAGACTGAGGCATATTTAATAATACTATTTATTAATCTTAAAATAAACAGCATAGGGGCGCCTGGGTGGCTCAGTCGTTAAGCATCTGAGTTCGGCTCAGGTCATGATCCCAGGTTCCTAGGATCGAGTCCCGCATCGAGCTCCCTGCTAGGTGGGAGGCCTGCTTCTCCCTCTTCCACTCCCCCTGCTTGTGTTCCCTCTCTCGCGCTCTCTTTGTCAAATAAATAAATAAAATCTTAAAAAAAAATACTCAGCATAAATATTTTCATTTGTTCTAGAAGAAATCACCACAGGGCAGTTGAGAAAATTCTATAAGCAAACCTGGAAATTTTTTTTTTTAATATTTATTTATTTGACAGAGAGAAAGAGAGAGAGAGTGCCCACACACAAGCAGGGGGAGAGGCAGACAGAGGGAGAAACAGGCTCCCTGCTGAGCAAGGAGCTCAATGAGGAACTCGATCCCAGGACCCGGGATCATGACCTGAGCTGAAGGGAGATGCTTAACAGACTGAGTCACCCAGACACCCCAAACCTGGAAATTTCTAATGAATGATTTGGGAGTACCGTATTTCTTCTGGTTGAGGTTGAAAAAGGTGGTGGAGTTTAGTTAAAGCTTAGTTAGTTTAGTTAAAGTTTTATCCAGAAATTCCTTGTCACTGCTCTCAGTTTCTGTCTCCACCTGCAAAGGAGTCTGGTCAAACACCATCTCTGTAGAAATAAGGCACTTCCTTCTAGAACTGTAATCTGGACAGCTTCACATGCCCATCTGACTCCCTTTGCAGTTCCTCCTCTGAACCTTCCATCTTATCTGAACCCGTGTCATGCAGCTTACCTGTGAAAGTGCACAGTGCAAAGCACTATGCAAGGCTCAGGCATCACCGTCATTAGACGATAAATTACACCTCTTATCAACACTGAGTGCAGGACTGTGTCTAATTCCCCTCCCCCACATCTTTGATTTTTCCTTCAATTATCAGGCCTTCAGAAATGTTTTTAAATTAAGTGAATCAAGTTGTTTTTCTCCTGTAGGTGAGTGTTCAGCTGCCCATAGGGGTATTTTACATGCTACCTTGAAATAATGTTTAATATTTTCACCATGGTATCAACATCATGACTTGAGGCTTCTATCATTGTTTCAAAGTTAACATTCTGCACAAATCTGTGGTAGTAGGTCAATGTGTTTTGGTGGCAGAGGAATTCTTTCCTTCACAAACCCAAGAAAACCCCGCATTTAGGAAGAAAACTCAACAAAAACAGTTGACTTAGGGTGGCAGCATTCTTTCTAGCGTTTTCTTAATGCTGAAGTAATTTTAAAACAGTAATAATCATGTTAAAATACTTCTGATGTTAAAATTTATTTTTACAATGTGTTTACAATGTCACACCAAAAACTTTATAAATAAATAAAACAAAGCCATTTAGGCTCAATAAAGAAATGAATGTCTTGCTTGGAAGTTCCACAGAAGCTGTCATGCACAGAAATTATACATGAAGACCCAGTTGAGAGCCTATGGTGAAAGCAAGCTCTCTAGCATCTGTGAGATATACGGAAAAGCAGTATAGTATGTTGGTTAAGAACACAAACAGTGGGGCACCTGGGTGGCTCTGACTTTTAATTTCAGCTCAGGTCATGAGATCGAGCCCTGTGTCAGGCTCTGCACTCAGCATGGAATCTGCTTGTCCCTCTCCCTCTGCTCCTCTCCTCACTCTTTCTCTGTCTCTAAAATAAATAAATAAAATCGTAAAAGAAAAAAAAAAAACACGAACTTTGGAACCAGGCTTCCTAGATTGGAACATTCTACTGCTTTTATTAGTTGTATTTTGACCTTGGACCAATTACTCTACCTCTTTTTGTCTCAGTTGCTCATCTGTAAAATGGGGATGATAGTAATAATAAATAGTACTTTCTTCGTAGGGCTGTTGACTTCATACATGTCAGCTTCATGTTAGCTTAGTTTTGATAGCTTCTAATTTTCATGTCTGCACTTTACAGAACTATTTGTTGTCATTCCTACTGCAATTCTCTGAAGCAGATTCCCCTACAATCCCCACTGGATGGGTGAGGACACTGAAACTTGAACAGTAGAGGGAGTTGCCCAAGATGGCACAGCTAGTAAGATTTGGAATAGGAACTAGAACACAGGTCAATTCGATTCTAAACTAGACCAACGTGTATAATAGACACACACACACACACACCATTTCCATACCAGAGAGCAAGCAGCCTGCACTAGTAATGAAAATATACTTTACCCATAGTTTGACTGCTGTTAGACTATATACTAAGAAAGAGGAAGTTCTCTCTTTTTGTTTTCTTCAACTACCTCCATACAAGCCCCACGTCTAGCTCCACGCTGAGCGCAGAGTCTGCTTGTCCCTCTCCCCGCTCTCTCTCTCTCTCTCAAATAAATAAATAAAATCTTAAAAAAAAAAATCATCCCCCCCCCGAATACTGACCTACTCTTAGTCTTCACATAGTCTTTCCTTTCCATTCAGCATTACTTTAACAATCTTCTTAAAACTAGCATACTCCAAATAATTTATTATTGTTATTGTTGTTTTAACAAAAAAAAAATCTAGGTTTTCCCACACTTGCAGCCAGGGAGGTATTTACTGTTCTAAGAAAATTTTACTTAATATTTTCACCTACATCCCTGCATCTCAGGCTGGGGAGCAGTACAGCCCTACTACAGTGAAAAGGAACTTCTGAACGTCAGACCAGTGCTGGGGTCTCAGCCCCACCACAGAAAATGGGAAGGTATAAAAAGGTGTAGATGAGATGTGGAAACATGGTGGGGATGCATACTCTGGGTGTTGAGTCCAAGTTAACTTGTTTTAATTAAGCACTTAGGTTACAATAGGGTGGTTCTACTTTGGTACCATGAGCTAATATTTATCATGCACCTAACATATTCAGCACTAAATAGGTGCTGGGGAGATGTAAAAATATGTCTATGACTCCACATTAAAATATCTTTCTCATTCTTTTGGACAGGTTGCATGCTTTGTTTGGAAAAGTTTTCCTTCATGGCATTTCTTTTGCTTTTATTTAAGAAATTGCGGGATGGGGCACCTGGGTGGCTCAGGGGGTTAAGCTTTCAACTCTTGATTAAGGCTCAGGTCATGATCTCAGGGTCAGGAGACTGAGCCTGCTTAAGATTCCCTCCCTCCTTTCCCCTCCTCCCCCCCCCCCACCGAAAAAAAGAAAGAAAAGAAAAAAGAAAGAAATTGCAGGAGCATTTCTCTACTTGCTAGATGGAATGCTACCCAATTCATAATCCACAAAGCCAACTAGATCCTCAAAAAAAAAGAATCGCAGGAAGCCCAGAGATAGATTCAAAAATGTTTTGTCTAGCCTATTCCACAATAGATAATACAAGGTTTGTTCCATAATTTTCATAAATAAGAATGTTGTTAAAATGAATCATTATGATTCTTGGATTGGATGGAAAGGGGTAGGAGAGGGGTTTGACAGAAATGTGACTCACTTTACGAGGGCAGGAGGGAGCTAGAAGACTCTGGGTGACAGGAAAGATGAAAGGGAAGAACTAGTTCTCCACCAGGGAGTTCTGTATTCTGTTGTGATGACAAAACATGAAGTAGCAGTAATTGATACTAAAGATGATAAATACCATCTATTTCTGACTGTTCTTGGTTTTGAAAATCAGAGAGACAAGAAATGCACTTTCTCTACTTTTTAAATGGTAATTACCTTTACCCAGGGGCAGCACTTAAGGCAAAATGAAATGTGAAATAAGGAGTATTTCTAAAGAGCAAGAATGGAAGTGCTTTGAGAAAGAGCGGCACAAACCCATTTGATTTCTGAAACTCAGAATGAAATGAAATCAAATTAATTTGTGGGCTGAGCCTCCTTCTAATGCAGTTCCTAGTTGGGTAGGGCTGGGCGGGGGAACGGAGGTGGGGTGGAGAGAGGGTTGGGAGGCATACCCAGTGATTAAACTCTAGAAATGGATACATTTCCTCCAAAGACTTGGGTCACTGGATGAAAATGCTTAACAAAAATATGGAAGTACAGAAAGTCAAGCCCATGAGACTTTATTTTCTCGTCTAGAAGGCTTTTCTCATGAGATGTATAGAAAAACAGGGACCAGATAATGATGGAGATGGTTGAATTGATCCAATCTGCAAAAACTCTGAAATAGTGCTTGCCTTTAATTTGATTGGGAAAATGTGATTTATTAATAATACAGCAAATGGCGTGGAGACAGCCTTTCATTTTCAAATATACACTGCTGTGGTTTCACAGCACATAAACATTTATGGCTAGATGTAAAAGATCACGGTGCCCGAGTCCTGAAGTATGGAAGCATTGCTGAACGCTGGAGCGATGCCTGAATAGGAATGACCCAATGGACTTATGGAATCACTATGTTCTGTGCATTTATTTTAATAACACATCAGTTATTGAATGAAGGCTAAGAACTGGGAGGGACATGCCAAAATCCTATAAAGTTGGACTTAGGTCCATTGACTACTTTGTTCCCCAGATATCCATGAAGCCAACAACGACCTCTCCTCCTTCAAGTGTTTGCTAAAACATCACCTTCTCACTAAGACCAAAGCAACTACTCTTATTGACCACGGAAATCCCTGGGTCACGATGCAACCTACTACCCCCATGGATATGTGTGCATTCCCCTTTGCACAGCATGTTCTCTTTTCTTTTTTGTGTGTGTGTGTATTTTTTTTTAATTTTTTTTATTATGTTATGTTAATCACCATACATTACATCATTAGTTTTTGATGTAGTGTTCCATGATTCATTGTTTGTGTATAACACCCAGTGCTCCATGCAGAACGTGCCCTCTTTAATACACATCAGCAGGCTAACCCATCCCCGCACCACCCTCCGCTCTAGAACCCTCAGTTTGTTTTTCTTCTTTTATTCAACAGCACGTTGACTTCTAATACATTATACATTTCTTATATACAGGTTTGTTATAAGATGATTCGTTATGGTCAGCTTCTCCCTGCTATGATGTTAAGCATTGTGAGGATAGGGTCTTTTTCTGTGTTGATCACTAATGCATGCCAATGCCCTAGAATAGTGGCTGGCACACTGTTGGATGTTCAGTAAGTATCTGTTGACTAAGCAAATATCTATTCAGAAAGTAGCAGGGAAGCGCCTGGATGGCTCAGTTGGTTAAGCGACTGCCTTCTGCTCAGGTCATGATCCTGGAGTCCCAGGATTGAGTCCAGCATTGGGCTACCTGCTGAGCAGGGAGTCTGCTTCTCCATCTGACCCTCCCCCCTCTCATGCTACCTCTCTCTCGTTCTCTCTCAAATAAATAAAATCTTAAAAAAAAAAAAAAAGAAAGGAGTAGGAACTAACAGTAATTTTTCCTATTTTCCTTTTGAATGGTGGCTGGCTCTTGAAAACTGGAACCCCTGTCCCTTTTACCTCGTTTGCCTTTATGCCAAATATTTAGTTTATATATGATATTTGAATCAGTCTCTTCCACCATTATGATGCCAAAATAGTAAAGATTCCACAATGTATCAGCTTTTTAAATAGCTGACAAAACAAGTGTGGTAGATTAATGCAGAAACTGAAGGAAAAAATGCTGGGTACTGATCGTTAATTCTGATTTACCAGTTGTTTTGACCCTTCAAAGCACAACTGTCAATCCCAGCAGAGTGAAAGCAGCAGAATGTTTGTGATTATGTTTGCTTTTACAAGTTTAACCATAATCATCAGTGTAGGAACAGAGTGCACCAAGTCAGCTTTTCTAAATTATTTGCAGCCAATCTTTCCCTTTCAAAGCACCAGAGTGCTTCTGACCTAGTTAAATTCCTGCCACTCTGAACATGCTTAATAAAAAGACATTTTTGGGGGGCGGGGGATCTCTATACTCACTTGTTGCCCAGTAACCAGGAAGATGGATCCTTCCTTTCCATGTACCACTTGTCGGTAAATGTGGTCGAGAATTAAGAGCTCACTCCAGCAATTCTGAAGCAGCTTCATTTGGTCATCAACCTATAAAAGAAATAGAAAAAAAATGACACTGTTATTCACTACATTTTTTATTTTTGCCTAATTTTCTACATAAGAGAACTCACTATAAGCAAGAAGTCTCTGCCAATGGTCATCATGGCACAAATGCTCGGAATTTACATCGTTGCTCCTGAAAATCATTATTTTCATTGGGATAAATACTTTTTAGGCCACATATGAATACTTAAGAGTAGTATTTATAATCAATGAGCTGCTAGGAAAAGGCCCTCCATTAGAGCGGTCTGTCTAATGTTAACAGAGCTATTAGAGTTTGCTTGTGGGAGGTCCAGGCGCCTCACACTGTCCTCGCTAGACCCCATTAGAATGGCCCCAAATAGTCTGTGCTTATGTATCTAGAGTTTAATACATTGACCCAAAGCTAAAATAGTACACAGATATTAGCAAGCTGCCAAACTGAGATTTCTTTAAAAGACAATTAGCACGCCGGCACGAATGACTTTGGAAGATAGAGTGACACACTGCCTTATCTGGCATCAGTATTAACTGATGTGTGTGTCCAAACTGCCCTCAACTTTGATCGGAATAATCACCAATCATGGTCTTGAGGCTCATCTACATTCGCTTTATGATTTGGATGATTTTCCCAAAAACACTCTAAACTTCGGTTTCCATAACTAGAAAATGAACCGAGAACATTACCTCCCTCACAGGACTGCCATGAGGATTAAAATGAAATGTGCTGGGTCACAGTGGGCATTTTATTCTTATTTCACCTTGTCCTCCAGGGGACTGCATTCTTTAATGACAAAACCATACTTATTTCACGGACAGTTCACATATCCATGGTCTGAATGTGAAAAGCATACTGACCCATTGCAATGGCTACTTGTAGTAGTGTGCTCTTCATTTTGTAATATATACCAGCCAAAGACCCCAGTTTTTCCAAATGCAGTGGCCATATTTAGACATACACTGTGAATTTATAAAAGTAACACCTGACACTGAACTCATGGTACAAAGAAGGATTCAAGACTCAGTTCGATACTTTCCAGCTGTGAGAGCTTAGTCAAATCACGTAATTCTCTAAGACTTATTTTCTCACCTAAAAATATATGAGAAAGTTTTTGTGAGGATGAAATAAGGTAGTGGATGGGAAATCCCCTTCGTAAAGTGTAAAACAATACACAAATGAAAATACATCAGACTGAGGGCTCGTGCCTGATGGACACGGATTCTGTGGAGAAGGAGAAAAGCAGTAGTATTGAAACTACACAAAACTACAATTAGGCTCTGTGATCAGGAAAACACATCCCCAAACATCTCCATCAGAAATACTTTGAACCAGTTAGTCTGTTCTGACCAAAAGAATTTCATTCATGGGCGCCTGGGTGGCTCAGTCAGTTAAGTGGCCGACTCCTGGTTTTCACTCAGGTTGTGATCTCCTGGGTTGTGGGATCGAGCCCTGAGTCAGACTCCTTGCTCAGCAGGGAGTCTGCTTTTCCCTTTCCCTCTGCCTCTATGGCATGCTATCTCTCTCAAATAAATCAAATCTATAAATAAACAAACGAACAAAATTAATAAATCTTCAAAAAAAATTTTATTCATTAAATACATCGATTATTTTTAATAGCTGATTCTTTGGTGGGTATGAGTGCCAGACCTGGGATATAATGGTGAGCAAGACAAAAGCAGTCCCTACCTTGTGAAAAGGACTCTCATGGGGGACAATGTTCACCCAAACATGACTTGGTGGTTTAGTGACAGTAGGAGGTCATATTCTTCTCTACAGAAAAATCTCCAGTGTTGTATGGTGTGACAAGTCAGCCTTTGGGCAGCAGTTGATGCAGATCCAGCTAAATGTTCTCCATAAACTGTTGTCACAAGGAGCAGTGGCCAAATGTCCCAAAAACATACATGTTGTGGCATCCAGGGCACATTCCAGGAACTGTCTCACCAGATGCTTGGTGTGATTTCCAAACAAAGCATACTTTGCTCTCCTGGGTTTTATTCTCATTTCAGCAAAAACACGACAGTATCTTATTTCAAATTTATCAGTCTGTGATGACAATTTGGTTCCACTGTAAGTTTTTTGGTTTTGGGGGTGTGTGTGTGAGAGAGAGAGAGAGAGAGAGAGCTATGAAGCTTTAGTTATTTATCGCTCTTTTCAGGAAAACCTAAAATACACCCCTCTGAGATTGTCTCCCCAGAAACAATTATTATACATGTTAATGTTGCAAATAATTTCAAAATGGGTGGGGGAATACAGACTCCTCAAAGTGCATTTATTGTTCCCATTTTGAAAAGATGAAAGAGCCAAGAGATTATCTGCTAGCCACACAGAAAAGGAGAAAGGGGGGGAGTGAAAATGAAAAGAAGCATAAGTTTGGGAGCTATTTCATTAAGGGCTTCTTCCTCTTCATTTGCATATGATGGTCCCTTATTTTCGTATACAACAGGACAGAAATACTATGATAACAGTTTTCCAGCATCAAGCCATGTTCCAATCACAAGTCAGAATCTGACTTCTCCTGGCCACCTTTTCTTTTGGGATGTTGAAGACACACTTCCAAACAAGGATATATTTTTGTCTCATGTTCAGAAAAAGAATGAGGTGTATCATTTTCAGATTTTATGCTGAACTCTATGTGTGTGTGTGTGTGTGTGTGTGAGAGAGAGAGAGAGAGAGAGAGAGAGAGAGAGAGAGGAGTGCCAGCCAATTGCCAAGGAAGAAATAAAGGTTTTGTTTTCACATATCCTCTGTAAGTTTCTCACTAAGGAGAGGCTGGATATTTTTTCATCCCCACTCCTGCCCACTGCTGCCTAGGTCCAGAGGCAGTAAGAAAATAGGCTTTTAAAATCTGCATATTTCCTGGTTCCTCTGCTGCTTCAGAAATTGCAAGAATAGGTGAACATGTCTATTTCCTGTAATTAGCACTTCACTTTTGGTTTTATATTTTGTACTGTTCGGGGCATCATCTCTTCCTTTGTGTCTAGCATAGGATCTTTGTTGTTATCTCTCTGTTTCTGCAAAGTACTGTAATTGCTTGTAAATCTGTCTGCCCTCCTCGAGGACAGCGGTGGAACCTGCCCCTGGAGCTCCCACAGTGCCTACCACAGCACCAGGCAAAAAAAAAAAAAAAAAAAGATGGATTTTATAAATGCTTGTTAAGACAAAAACCAAAGAACTGAATTACCTTCCCTTCTGCACGGTTTCTGCTTTTCACCTGTGTATCTTTGGTACCTAGCCCACAAGAGAAGCAAGCAAGTCCTTCCGTGTTGGTGTAATAAACAACCATCTTTGCCCCACATGATGAACACCCCAGAAACATGCATCTGACCCTTCCCACGTGTGCTGGCAGGTCCCAACCCATGGCTGGCCCTTCGTAAAGACTTCTTGACTGATTGTAATTTTAACACTCCTCCTGAGCAATTGATTCCTTGTTTTAACACTCTCCGAGGGGGTTTTCCATGCCAACATTCCATTTCATTATTTTCCATAATTGATTATGTCATATTTCATGTTATCTTGAAATTGGTGAGTATGCAGCTTCACGGTGCTTTGGGTGACAAAGTTTTTATGCAGCTCTATGAATAAAAGCACGGGGTAAATTTGATGACCGACTTGATCCTTATCTCTAGATAAGAAAAGCTGGCAATTTTGAAGATATTTTTTCTTTGGAAAACAAGAGTTATAGGCGACATGGGGTGGGGGGCAGGGAAGAGGAGAAAAAGAATCCACTGCTTTTGAGTAAATTCTCCAGGTATGAATACTGTCAATAAACAATTTAGGGTGGCAACTGGGGAGCTCAGAAGGGGGACTGAATGAGTATAATTTCCATTATATATCAAAACCTCTCGCTAGTTAGCCATACCGCCTCCTATAATCCTGTGTTATCAGCTGTAATAAAAGGAAAGACTTATCTCAGAAACCTAGTTACCCATCACAGAAACTATTTATATTGACGTTACAGATGAGTGTGTAAAGGAATACAAGCCACATATTGTTAATGAAGCACACTTCCCACAACCCAGAATGTTAATCATTAGAGACACGGGCTTCCTCCTAAGAACAGTGGATTTGGGCAAACAATTAGAAAAAGAAAAATGTGTAGAACTTTCTCAAGCCTGCACTTAACTTATCAAAACCTTTCTGTTGCCCCTTCCCCTTTACCTTTTACGAGTCTGGAAACTACACTGTGATTTCACTTTCCCTGGCGGATTTGAAAATTGACATCACGAATCACTGTGGTTAAACTTAGATATTTTAAGGAACACATTCTACTGACATGGATTGGTAATTTAAAAGTGGACGTGAGCCCATCTCTTACTTCTAATCATTAAGTCTGGTGTTCTAGGCCTTTGTTAGAAACTTGGTTGGGAGACGCCTGGGTGGCTCAGTCGGTTAAGCATCTGCCTTCGGCTCAGGTCATGATCCCGGGGTCCTGGGATTGAGTCCTGCTCAGCAAGGAGCCTGCTTCTCCCTCTGCCTGCCACCCCCCTGCTCGTGCTCTCTCAAATAAATAATTAAAATCTTAAAAAAAAAAAAAGGAAAAGAAAAGAAAAGAAACTTGGTGGGGTAGGAACAGAAGTGACTAGGACAGAATCACAAGTCTGCTGTTATAATTCCATGTGCAAAAGAAGCTGAGGAGAACATTACCCTGCTTCACCTCCCAGGGGGTCAGGGAAGCTTCTGAGAAGAGGATACTTAAATGCAGGACTTAACCTTGTAGAATCACTCACTGAACTCTGTAGCTCCTGTTAGAACAACTCTTGGAACCAAGTATTTAAAAATGATGTGAGGATTCTTCACAATCATTACAAATAAAGTCCAGCTATTAGTTCATTTTTTTTTTTCCCCTTTCTGGCGAAAAAAAAAAAAAATCCCTCGAAATGGACGTCCATTTTTTTGGGCTTCCTTTTGTGACAATGGTGGCATTTATAAAAAGGTATTCAGAAGCAGGGAGAGAAAAATCAAAACCAAGACAAATCAAAATAAACTTTTACGCATCTGAGTGAGAACC